ATAAGTTAAAGCCTTTTGAAATGCCTGGCGCTAAGCAGAACTTGAGATTTAAAGGTAATTTGAGAAATCATTATTTTCTATTTTCTTATCTTCTTTGAGCTTATTAAAGGCATCACAATGATCTCAGATATTTACACATTGTTGGCATAGAACAAAACGTAAGCAGTTCTAGTTTTTTATGTCATTTAAGAAATTAGTATGATCTGACTTAGGATATATGAATTTATCATTACCTTCATTAAATCAACGTTACATTGTTCAATATCCTAGATCTCTTAACCTAAATAGCTGTTTATTTGATTAATTTTACCTAGCCTATTAAGATTGTGGTGTACATGACTAAGGAAAAAGTTTAAGAAAAACTATATTCGTATAAGAAAAACTAGCAGTTTATTAGTAGTACAAACAATAAATTCTTCATAACTCAATGAACTCAAATAATTGTCTCCCAGCCACTACCAGTCCAGAAGATGCATCCTAATTAAGCCATCAACAGTAATATTCTGTTGATTGTAGTAAAATTAGCTTTGTCAGTAAAAATTTTCATTTGCATTTTTGTTTTAATTGGATTTAAGTGACTATCTTAGGTGAATTTTATAAGACATAAATGTTTGGATTAAAAGAATATGCAGAAATTTAAATGTATTAAATTATTTGCAAACGAAATAGATAATTAATTAGAGGAAAGAAGACTATTTTATTGTGAATTGCACTGACAGGAAGAAACTGTAATCAAAAGTAGTAAGAAACTATAGATCTTCTAACATTTCTTACTGTGCAATATAGGATTTTATGAGTAAAATAAGTGTCGAATATTAAATAATATTCTGGTTTTTCAGTTAGAATACGCCTTAGTTATGTCAGTTTGTTATGGGGCCTTTTTATAGGCTGAAATTTGCTAAAAAATAGTAGGATTTAATCATTTAAATGGGGGTTCTCTGCTATTCTGGGTCTTATATATATATATATATATATATACATATATACTTTTACGTTCTTTGCAATTTAGGTAATTCGATAAAAATTGTATCTTCTAAATTATTAGTTTGTTAGCACCTATAACACACAAGGCACTAAACTTAAGAATGTTGCAGGCTTATTCATTAGTTAATAATAATAGTAAAACTACTTTAATTAGTGCACTACAAAATGCTCCACTTCACCTGTATTGCGAAGGCTGCTGACAAAAGGCGCCTGAAATATATCTATCCAAATCCATCGTTGTTAAACATTCGATTAACCTTGAAATACATAGCCAAAACAAACCAGTAAAGTAGTCTTAAATAGTATAATTATGTTTTATTTAATTAACTTCATATAAGTTAACTTAACATAAATAAGTCCCTGACATGAAAAATATAGTGAATAAATAAAGAAAAAATGACTGCTAACAGGCCTGAGTAGGACACGTTGCCCTAGATTCAAAAGAATTTTTTAGTTTGTTCTTATAATTATCCCTTAATTCTTTTATGCCCCCACGTGAAAGAATCTAGTTTCATTTAATACGTACTGCTCATTAATAGATATATATAGCTTACCACTTTATATATCGATTAGTTCTTAAGTAATCATACTATCCCAATGGAGAAACAATCGGCGCATATAAGGGATCTACAAGTCTTCATTTTGTCACATATTCTGAATTGGAAGAGACTACAACTGACGATCTGATGCACATGAATAAAAAACTATCAGCAAAGTTCGTGGCTATAAAACATTGCTCCACATGGCCAAGTAACCGTCAGCATATCGAATCCTACAAAGTGGGTTTTCCCCGCACTAGGTTAAAACAATTACCAACATCCCTACCCATATCCCTTCCTGCTGGGGCAGTCAACCCATTAATCATCCAGCCCTCTGATTTGATCGAGACTCGCGATGGTCTCTCTTTGACCGCTCTGTGTCTCATCACGATCACGTATGGGCTGACGCCTGAATGGATTCTACCTGAATCTGCCAGCTCCAGTTTCCTGCAACCATCAATCTACACTCGTCAGGAGGCTACTACTATGATCACAGAGCTACGCTACACCCAGGTGACCACAAGTCAGGCCGGAATCTTCAAATGCCGGGCAGGCAATTTATATGAGGCCCAGCTAACCGTCCGCGTGCATCCGCCAGAAAGTGAGTAAAAAAACCCGCACCTGTCCAAGATGTTGGCACGATCATTAATTTCGGATAGACAAGGCAAAACTATATTTGCCTTCGTCTGAAATTTATAAAAGCGTTGATGCCACAAAAGGTTGCTATTTGAAAGCAAAATATCTTAATTAGCTGCCTACCGTTACATTCTCATAATTTGATCCAAGCCTGTCTATCTATCTGCAAACCCTTTCTTCCTGCCCATTAATACAAATAGCTACATAGAGAAATAATTCCATACATATGCATATACATCATTAAATACTTAAATGCAAACTAGCATAGGAAATTATCCATATACTTATCAAGCTTAATAAGTTACCGATGCTTTTTCTCTTCATCCATATACCTATGATGCAGTTACTTTGTGCACCATCAGCTTTGAGCTACTAACTTCACTTAATCTTTGAACCACTCACCTTAAAATCTCTGTACTCCGGTTATTATGGGCCATCAGAATGAGCGATCGAGCTAATCTAATGGCAGGTGCGAAAGATACTGACTAGCAATTCCTTCCCAACATAATCACAAATGCCATCGTCATCTATAATGTCTCCATTCTCTCCAATCCACTACTACCACCACCATTACCCCCACAGACACAAACACCATCTATCTTGACAAAACCTCAACCACTAGCACTAGTTTGAGCAACATTACTACGAGAGCAGCCATCGTAGCATATTTGTTTACCAAATAAAAAGTAATGTTTATGTTTTTATATCGCACAGCCAAAACTAATAACATGTTGCATTGCACGTTAGCACTTTAGATGTTCTGCATTGTTGCCGCACGTACGCAAATGTTAAGAGCAATTTATCTGAAGCGTGACACAGGTTTCTTTTACACACTTGCCTGCTTAATAAGCTATATATTAATCAAATAAAGTGAATCGTAAGTCACTTTTTGTAGTCCCCCATCGTTAGGCCTTAGAAATCACGCATTTTCTAAAAAAAACAATGATATAACATGTGAGGACATAGAATTTTTTTCTTATTCTCAATATTAATTAGGCAAGTATGCGAAGAAAAGTTGTATTTTGAGAAATCTCTCGATTCATAATTGTTAAGTTTACTTTCATTTCAAGTAAAAGTAAGTATTGGAAATATTCAGTGAAGAATTCATATGAATTTGCTATAATACTATATCAATAGTGTTAAAGAGGAGGTTATTTTTGTTAGGTTTGATGTGATATCGATGTTTAAAAACATTCCAGTTGAAAAGGCTGTTTAAGCACTAACCCTCAGCCTAGCTTAGCACTCAGAAATTATTGAGAAACCAAATCTAAGCAAAAGCTCAATCTTAAAACTTCTAAATCTATCCATGAATAACCCACACTTTACATTTAATGATAAGGTTTATGAACAGTTGCAAGGATCTTGCTTGGTTTCCATTTTAGCTAATAATTACATTTTAAGAATGAAGGAACACTTTATGGAAGAGGTAAGATTGACACCCAAACTGTTAGTTAGATTGAGGGATAACTATTTTGCCATATGGCAGCATGGCAAGTATAGTTTAGATAATTTCTTGTTTTTAATTAATCAGATTGACTGCAATATTAAGTTGACAATGGAGGTGGAGATAAACAATGATTTGCCATTTTTTAGATGTCTTAGTGATCAGACCAGGTGAGAAGTTAAGCAGGGATATATATATATAGAAAGCTAACGCATGATGGCTTTATCCTTAACTTCTTCTCCAATCATAGTTACAAAACTAAGGTTGGAGTTTTAAAATCTATGATTATTCGGAGCATAAACTAGCCGATAGAGACCATTGTGACAATGAACTCAATTGGCTCAAAATAATATTTCTTGAGAATAGTTATCTTCTGGGCTTGATAGAAAATAACATTAGATTAATAAAGAATCGCTTTTTGAATGGTGAATATGAAAGGAGAAGTAAGGAGACCTTTTATCATGTTTCTTCTTTACCTTCATGCATTCTCTCTAAAAGGATAAGTGAACAAGCAAGTAAGTGGGGAATAAAAATGGTTTTTGGGGAAACTAGGACACGTTCTTCAATTATGCCCACTTTTAGAGAGAAAGTTGCGTGTCCGACCTTGCGCAATCGGAGTGATGGTTATAACATGTATGTAGAAAGGGGGAGATAGGAGTCATCAAAACTTGATGGCCGAAAACAGACGTTACTTTGCGCTGTCCTAATTGCTTTGAGCCGTCACTGCGGGTTTCGTGAATAGGTGAACACAAGCAGGCGCATACACATACAGAGACAGACATACTCACAGGCTTCGAGGTTGACATATGACGGTAACTAACCAAAGCACTTTATACCTGATCAAAGAGGCCAGATATAGAGTATATATACCATTTTTTATGGATTTGCCGGTGAGTTTTCTTGACTAGTTAGCTTGAATTTGGTTGTGACGATGATACCTTGCTTTGATGATGTTCGTCATATGAAAGACAAAAGCTTAGCACCTTTTCTTCGGAATCGAAGGAGATTACGACGGAAACAACGCCAGCATGAATTTTCCAGTAAAGCCAATTGACAGCTGGTCAAGAGGAATACGCCATCGTCTTCTGGAGGAACCGACCTTCGAATCTCTTTACCAAACACTTTAACTCGAAATAGAAGTAAGCTTAACATATATCTTTGTGATATTTATTACCATTCTTGGCCTAATAAACTACAGAGAATTTACAGTAATTAGCAATATATACAGGGCCTATCTACAGCTTTATTTATTCTTGTATAATGTTTAAGACCAACATATATGTGAATTACATTAGACAACTTTTCTTTCCTATTATTCTAAAGAAATATTAATTTTAATTGAATGCGCTTCTAGTCACCTTTATCTTTAATATAGCACAAGTTTAAAAAATACTCTCGGACAAAGATTTTAATTCTCCTCTATATACGCTGGAAAAATCTTTATGAGCTACTCGCGGAATATATTAGTCACCTAACACCATTCCAGACTAATGTTTAAGCATGTAACGAGAGCAAATGTTTTGTT